AATCCGCCGGATCCGCGATCTCGCATCGGCGTGGCCGCGCTTCTGCAAATTGATTGCAGACTGCCAACCCATCGGGCACCGGTTGTCTCTCGTCTTTCGAGCGGCAGCAATCATTTGCAAATATGTACTATCTTTTTGCGTTGTTCGCGCCAGATCGACCAGACTCGTCTTCTATCGATCCTCTTGACGGCCGATCGACTCGCCGATCGTTCAAGGAAGAGTCGGTTTGTTAATCCGATGTCTCGCGATTTATCTGCGGACGTACGCGACAAAATACGTATCGACCGTTTTCTATTACGTCGATGTAGAACAATTTTTGAAATATGTTATCTATACGTGATTAATATTTAAAAATTCTGCCTGGGAAAGTTCAGCATTCGATGTAAATCTCGCTACGAAGGAAATCTAGCTTTGTTAAATCAGAATTACAGGTGAGCGTGTGTGGCGTTAGATTGTAACTGGTAACTCGCGATATAACTTGCGATTGAGTGGACTATGAAACCGAATGGCCGACTCAAATTCTCAGAATATTAACTCGTGTTACTACGATTCTCAATGCGCCAAATATACAGCCCTTCCTCCGCGAACGAACGAGCGGCGGAATACCTCGAAATCGAATAACTAATATCGAAGGCCTACTTTGTAACCGCAGGTATATACGATCGTACGCGTTTTTCCCCGGTTATGGATGAAATCGACCTCAGAGTCTAGATTAAGTTCTTTCCCTCGATGGATCCTGCGGACGGATAAAAAAGTTGTTGGCATCCGACGAAATCGATCTGGCGGCCGAACGAAGATCGACCGATTTCAGGCAGACCGAGCGACAACGTGTACCAACGTGCACGTGCACCTCTTTAGTGGTTTCCATTCCCTTTGCATCTTTCTTTATCTTCGATCTCTGTCTCTTTCCTTTCATCTCGTTCTGATTTCCGAGGTGTTTACTCGACTGTCAAAGTACATCGATTTGTTAGAAATGAATATACGTTTGGAGGATGAAACGAGGTGCTTGAAAATGCCACGGAACGTTGAATCGCGGAATGACGAGGCAAAGATCCTCGTGGTTTAGCTTGGTGATAGTTTCGTGTTGTACGCACACGTTAGATTAGCCTCGTTATCACAGATATGTTTCTATTTTAACACATTCGACTCTCGATTGCAAATCTCTCGCTACCTCTAAATCGATCGAGTCTCCGTATTCTATGCAGTTTTCTCATCGTTTAATCCCATCGGTGGAGCAATGGAGCGGCGCGCAGCGAAGCGGACACGCACGATCGGCTTCTGGCGCGGTCGATCGTCCTTGCCGGCATTCCCCGTATTAATTTGCCGGAGCGTGCATGGGACAAAGCGAGCAAAGAGACACGGTGTGTCGCCTCGGACCGATTGGCCGGCGATGATAAGAGGGACGGCGTCCCACGGTCGGCTCCCTGTTCCGCCTGTTCCTCCTCATCATCGTCCTCGTCCCGCTCCTTTTCTGCCCCCGGTAGGCAGACTTCTTTCGGGAGGCGTTCGTTACGGATGGCTTGGCTACCCGACGACCGTCTTTTGTGCCGTCGCCGGTCATAATGACACCAGGCAAAAACTGTCAATGCTGCCGCATATCGGCTTCCATGCATGCATTAGCTGTACGAGGCGTTCTTCGGTTCCTTTGCCTGCTTGCTGATGCTTCTTCGATTGCTTGTGTCCGCTGCTTCGCACATAGACAACGTTATTGCGTAGAGAATCGATCGGAAGCAGGCAAGAAATCTATTTTTAAAGCGATTCGTTTTATTATAATTGTTTTTATTATAATCCTGGAAACACTAGCTTTCCCCGTAATCGGTAAAGACAACACGACGTAAATATGTTTTACCGGACGACCTTTTCAAAGTTTTATTCCGAAACTAGGTTTTTGCGATCAGTTATCCCATTATTTTCTCTCTGTTTTCGCTTTTTTCGATCGAACTATCGGTAATCTGAGGTAGTATCTACCCGACAATCCCATTATATCTGGCAGACTGCACATCGATTAATACCGGCAGGAAGTTCGCTCAGACGTTGATCCGCACCTTAGTCACGCGTTACGCGCAGAAATTAGATGACACAGGCATCTTTTCGTAACGGTATACATGTACCGCGCCAATAAGCCGAGGAGGCAGAAGCAAGGTATTGTCGCATTAGACGTCGCGCAAGAAAACGCATTACAACGAAACTAATAACGAATGTAACGGGACGCGTGTGCACGCTTCAACGTTGGCATTTTTTAATCTCGCGAGCTCGCAGGAAGATTCGACTCAAGTAGAACGAGCCATATCTCTTGTCTGATTGCGAGTGAAAGAAAATGCTGGGGAAAAAAAGGTGAATGGTTCACGGAGGACTGGCTCTTTAGGATCGTGTTTCTTTCGCAAGTGCAACGATGCGTGTCCATTTTATGACACGAAGCTGCAGCCCTTTCTTTCTAACGCACTTTGTTAGAAACTAGAAACGAATCTTTCTTTGCTCTTTTTTGCCCTCTTTCCTCTTATCCTTCCATACCTTCAAATCACTTGATATTTGTACGATTACGCGTATAAGTATCCTCCTCGCAGCATAGCCTTCTTACGAATATTCTCAATAACCGTTTCGCTTGCTGCGTCGTTCAGCGTGGTTCAACCTCTTCCTTTGTGTCACAGTCGCGTCGCAACGTGCGAAGGAAAAACGACAGCAAGAAGAGGATAGATCGCGCGTCGATTTCTTGCAGATGGAGCACGCGGCGATCGCCATAGCAGGATCTTAATCGGCGTGCAATGGATCTTCTTCCCTGCATTCTTGCTCCGTTCAATGTCCCATAGAAATCACGACGATCGTTGGATTACCGCGTCGAGATGGTCGTGGTTCCTGACCACGATTTTCCAGTTTTACCCTTTAAGATCGCGAAGAAAACAGCTGCGTCTTCGAGTTACAGGAACGCGTAGATCAGTAGCAGCGATTATGCATCGAGTTTATCCAGCGGTTGCATAAATTGCTTTACAAGCAAAACTTTCTTTTCGTTGGCAAGATCCGATTCGAACGGCCGTACACCGTCAGCGAAAAAACAAAGCATAGCAAAGTTAATTAGCGAACGCGGGACCGCGGACGCACGCTCCAATCGCGAAAACCGTTTTCCAAGCGGTTAACTCGTCTAACAATCGATAAATTCGATTCGATTCTCCGCGGTATCGCTTTCTATAGTCATCGTGACTATGAACAACGAACGTTCCGAGTATCTTTGTTCGTCGAAAGACACGCGAAACAAATTTCGAAATTTCGAGATAAATATTTGCGTTCCTCGTCTTAACGTTTCCACGTTTTCGACGGTAGTCACGTATGCAAAAAGAAAAATAAGAAAACAATTGGCCGAATAATACCGTTCTGAACAGAAAACTACATATAACAGTTTTAGTACGTGCCATAATACCGTGTTCTTTTATTATCGTCGGTAACTGCGAACAAATTTTCTAAGATTACAAAATAATGGAAACCGGTTTGTGACGTCATGGTCGTTGAACTCGACTCGATGTCGACCACGATATTAAATTGCAAAAAAACATATATCAGTGTGCTAAAAGGCATATCTTTGACCTTGGAATTAAAGCTACCTTGGACTTCCTCCGATGCTTTAATTTATGATCTTGTTGATTCCGATATCGACAAGCGTATTTCTTTCGACTTTCCCTTGATTTAATGTATTCTACCTCTTGGAATGCGCTTTGGAAACTGTATCGAATTAAACGACGGATCTCGCGATAAGATCGATTCAACAATAAAAACAGCATTCCACATTAATTACCCTTCTCGTTCGTGCGGATCTGCGTTGCACGCGGCGCGAATTACATACTCCTCGCGCTTCTTAACGCGACGTTGCGTTCGTTTTTTTTATCGCGATACAAAAGGGAAAGTTCGGCTAGTCCGACGGTGTTGGTCAACCGGTCGCCTGCACGGTTAAATTGTGACAGGATGTTCGTAAGAGAATCCACGAGGGCCTTGCGTTTTGCTCGAGGAGAAAGTTGCAGCGGTGTTACGCTACTTTTTTTTTTTTCTCCTCTCTGTCTTACTTTTTTTAGCCGTGAAATATTACAGACTTCAAATAAATCGTTGATAAATGATTAATGCGTTATTTATCACTTACGTATCGATGATCTGGTTCTCGCTAAACCAGCCGAAGAGGAATAATTTCATCTTCGTTTCTGTCACCATTTTACAGACGAGAATGTCTGCGAGTTTAAAAATAGACTACAAATCGGACAAAATTCAACGTACCGTAGAATTTAAAAGCAACAAACCCGTATCGACTTTATTTTTCTAGACGATCTCTCGACTCGAGTCGTTCGCTAGCGCGAACGGTCGGTACAAAGCGTTTAAAAAGCGGTCGCTCACGATCGAGATGAATGACGAAGTCGCGACGAGAGAACAGGATCGAGAAGATTCGGTCGTCGCGCCGTTCAGCGACATCGACACGACAAGGCTTGCGACGTCGTTGGCAATGGTGGCGGCAGGCCGATTTTGACAGTCGCGCGCTGTCTCCTCCATGATGAATGAACGACTCGCGGCTCGATCGACGTTATCGTAAATCTTCCCGACTCGGGGCTATTGTGAAGTCGCTCGTCATCCGTTTCGGTCTTGTCGCGCAAGCACACGCCGATCTCGAGCGAAGTGAGGTCAGATCGATATCGAGATTCAAACCGGCCGAACTCGATTTGAATTCCGATTAAGACCTCTTATAATGTTCGGAGATGTCGTACAGGCCAATGAAATCGACATGAACCGTGCGGTACCCACGACGGCATGATTTCTTGCGTGTCTTCTTCTCTTGCGGTCGATCTTTACTTCTTTAATCTGTCGTCTCGATTTTCAACTAGTAAATTGAATTGGACAATGAAAATGAAATTGATAGGTGAAATTGAATATTAGCTGTTTCAGTGGAATGATATTGAAAGACAAACATAGGCATACATTCACGTGTTATTTATTTGCATCTTAATAATATATAACATGTATATTATTCTATCAATTACGTCTATTATGATGTCTAACCCCTGATCCCATAGTTGCTGTATTACACCTGTCAACCAAAACGATGAATTACAATTAATGATCAGCAATTATATGTTTGCTCGTGGAATACAAAAAGTGGTCATTAACACTGGCACGAACATCGTTTACATTATTCCGACGTATTTCTCGTATATTTCGCGTCTCTAAATCAAAAAGTCTACGATATGTACGAGTCGCGTCAGTGCGAGTGTTAAATCGTTGGATTATTTCTCGAATCACGTGAACCTACATTTTAAAATACGCGCGAGACCACTGACTCGGTCACACGGCCGCCCAACATTCTGCTTTGCATGGTGTCGACCACGCTCTCCTTTACTACGCGCATTGGTTCCTCTATCACCAGGTTCGCAGGCCTCACTGCTGTCAAAACTCTTGGGTTGTAGAACTGCATTTGAGGTACATTCACGTAGGACAGAGTCTCCGGATCCGACATCATGAAAAAAGAGTTGGATGGCGAAACGACCACCTGCTCTCTGTAAGTTGGTACCACCGAAGCAACGTCCATGACTACTTCATTTTGCAGTGGCGAAACGATGATTTCTTCCGCCACGGGCTTGACAACTTCCCGGGTGATTGTTTCGACGACTGGATCGTTTGACACCACCACAGATTCCTTGAGCGAAACCGAAGGTTGTTGAACGATGTTCACGTTGGTTTGCGCCGGCACAGGTTGAGCCGATTGAATGATCTCCGTGAATGACGAACTCGGCTGAGCGATCACGGTGGCGCTAGGTTGTCCCTGGATAAAGCTCAGAGTTTGAACAGGCTGTCCTGCTGGCTGGATGCTGAGAGTTTCGACAGATTGCGCTCCAGATTGGATATTGAGGACTGCAGGCTGTTGAGGATTGGACTGGATGCTGAGAGTTTCGACAGTTTGTGGTCCCGATTGAATATTGAGGAGCTGAGCTGGTTGGCCATTGGATTGAATACTAAGAGTTTCGACAGTTTGTGGGACGGGCTGAATATTGAAAAGTTTAGTTGGCTGACCATTGGCTTGGATACTCAAGGTTTGAACTGGTTGTTGGATGCTGAGAGTTTCGACAGCTTGCGGTACGGATTGGATATTAAGGAGCTGGTTTGGTAGTCCATTGGCTTGGATACTGAAAGTTTGGGCAGGTTGTTGAATGCTGAGCGTTTCAACAGTTTGTGGTGCCGGTTGGATATTGAAAAGTTGAGTTTGTTGGCCATTAGCTTGAATGCTTACGGTTTCAACAGCCTGTGGCACCGATTGGATGTTAAGAAGCTGAGCTGGTTGACCATTAGATTGAATGCTAATGGTTTCGGCAACCTGTGGCGCTGATTGAATGTTGAGGAGCTGACCTGGTTGACCATTGGCTTGAATGCTCAAGGTTTGGACAGATTCAGGCTGTTGGATACTTAGGGTCTGCTTCGATGATTGCCCAGGTACCTGGATACTGTAGGTTTGAGTTGGGAAGAGCGTCGGAGGCTGATTTAAATATAGCACCGACTTCTTAGATCTCTCCAGGTCCTTCACTTCTTCTTCCAACTTCAGGATCTCCTTTTCCAAAGTTTCTTCGGTCTTCGACGTTGGGACAGCCTGGGCTACTGCCAGGCCCGCAACGAACAGTGCGAATATTTTCTTCAGATGCATTTCTTCTGATTGTTCTTCGGTGTCGAACTGTGTCGATCTTGGCGATGAGGCTTCTTTTTAAAGAGATCCTCGCTCTCATCAGGCACGTTTGACATTGAGATACCTCACGTAACGAAAACACGCACGAGCGCTGATACGCGAGATCGCGGCTTTATCAGGTCACGCAATGATACGCGTTTGGTACAAGTGTTATACAATACACAACTTTTGGAATTTATGTAACAAAAGAGGATATCTCTTATGTATTCTTTTATTTCTTTTCTCGTGTTGAATAATTGTTATCTCATAGAGCCTCGGAACGTACCACTCTACAGTTGCGTAAAATATACGTGACACGTATATTCGCTATCCGTAAACAAGTTTTACGCAAACTTTGGTCTATACAAAAGTAAAATCCGGAACCTTGAAATTAAATTGAACGAGTTAATTTAGAAACAGTCGAAACGAAATAAAGGTTGAAAGTATAATTCAGCTTGCGATTAATTTCATCAAAATTTAATTGTACGTGTTTTTATAACGACGACGAACTTTAAAATTGCAATGAAATTTTAGATTTGCTCTCGTAAACCAGAGCAGAACAAAGTAGAAACATTCGATCGTTCCTGAAACATCTTCTTCGATTTCCACTACTCACGACCACGAGTCTTTCCTAAAATCGTTTCACCTAATTCTATCTATTTATAGATACCTTTGATTCAGATGGTAATCGTCTAACGTGGAACCGCCAGACACCAAGGTTAGAAGTTTGCCGGCTGTCGATCGATTCGAAACAGTCGTGCAACCCCCGATCGTAACTCGGCTGAAATCGCGTTCGACTCATCCCTGTCTCACAGATCATCGTTTTCGCCCTCTTTCAACCCCTCTGCTTCTCTCCGTGCAATTTCTTTCTCCGTAAGCAACGTTGGTATTTCCAGGACGCTGATATTAACGACACCCGGTAGATCGTAATTTTGTCACCCGACCGTAGAAAGAAGGAAGGGTTTGGCGCGCTAAGAAGCGGCGCCGGCTAATTGCATGCATTTTTAACGGACGATACGTCGTAATCGGCGCTGCCGGTATGATGGAAACGCGAGCATAAAGCTTTACGCTCGCGGCACCCTGGGGAGAACGTTCGAGGGGTCTCGGCTCGACTGCGCCGTTTTTATTTTACCGTATGGTCCTGTGGAAAGGGTGAAACGGTAACTGCGATACTTACGACCGAGCAGAAATTCCTAAAGGGATCTTCTTTTTCTTGTTCTTCCTCTTTTTTCCTCTTGTTTTCTGCTGTGAAGGCTTCTCGTTGGAGATTAGCGCAGACCGTCGACGTATCAATCGTTTTAAACGGATCCGAGGTTTTAATGAAAAGCAAAACGGAGCGAGGGGACGAGAGATGGAATAACAAGGGTTATGGTAAATCGTTTTCTGGAAAATTTTGGTGCCTTAAAGACCAGATGCTTTCTAGACTTTCTCGGAATTTGCTACTTTATATCTCCCATGTAGATGTAGATTAAAATTCACATGCGTTCAATTTACGAGGTTCCACGATCGGCAACGAACTATATAAATCGTGTCGCACCTATTCAAGGGGATTTAATGGACATTGATGTATCGACGATTCGGGACGGGCGTCCACGTGGCGTGATTAACGCCGACCTGTCCATACGGCCGAGAATAACGGCTCACGGCTTTCTGGTGTCCCCGTGGTGAGATACGCCCGGACCTCGTTCACCTCAGACGATCGGCTCTCGGTGTCGGCCTCTTTCGCGAGATACTCGTGTCGAGTCTTCGACTTATCGACCTTATTACGTCGCTGGCCTCTGGGCTACCGTCTGCGGATCTCTCTTCCTGACAAACAGATCTCCAGACCGGTTGCCGAGCTTCAATTTCGCGACGACGGAAACAGGCGACTCTTTTCGTTTGCGTAGATTATTATCGTTCAAATGTCGCTGACAGATTGTCAGAAACGATACTGGTATCTGTTTGGAATAAAAAATAATCGGACAATCGCTCGGTACGTACGTCCGTCAGCCGTAACGCGAGTCATCGTCGTTAAAGCAACTTCCTGTTTCCGATTTCCAACCGATTCCAGAAAATCCAACGAGTCACTATCGCGCTGCCTCTCCTAAGACCCCTAGCTGAGCGATCGCTCTGGCAAACGACACGTTTGACAAGTCTCGTTGCCGCTCGTTACTCCTCGTCGACTATGTCATTTGTCTCCGGAGAATAATCGACCAATCTCTCCGAGCTTCACGCGCGAAACAGAAAGAGGAAACACGGAAGAACACGAAAGAAGAAGGAGGAAGAAGGACAGAGAGAGAAGAGAGTAATGGTGCTGCTGGTGCACGGAGTCAACGAGAGGGCCGCAATTATGTAATCGCTGTGTCATTGCGTTTGAGTAATTCCATTAGCTAACGTACGAGAGAGCAAGTGAGGAAAAACGCACGTCGCGAGCTGTCGACCCCGAGCATTGTGCACTGGGGTCACGTTCTCACCTCCGGTAACTGCAAGGACCGCCATTTTTGCTCGCTCGCGCTCTTTCTCGGTCCTGTAGCGGTCGAGTCGATCGTTCAGGCGATTTTAACGCCTTGTCTGTCGAGTCACGGTGTGCACTGGATTCGAGTCATCGGGAGATCTCGACCTACGATGGTAAACCGAGCAATCGGTGCTCTGTCGAGTCGAAAAAGTTTGGATCGGTTAGGAGTTTTGAGATTTGGTTAATTTCAAATGGCGACGGATATCGGGATTTCGATTAATAGAAAATGTTAATCGTCTAAATACAGTTATTTATGAAGTCGGATAATCTGCTGATGATCAAACATTAGCGTTACGATATAAATTATCTTCTATTCTCTCATGATCGTATGAGCTGAAAGTGAACTGTCTAAGAGTCGCAGACGTATAAACCGAAGCTAGAAAGGAAAGAAAGAGTCGTGTGGAAATCGGCGACTCGAATTCCACGGCGTGCACGATACAGACCCGCAACTACACGGTGTCCGCGATTAAATCAGTCGGCCGCGATGTCACCTCCGGCGCATGGTATGCGACGAAGGAATCCTTGACAGGAGGTCGCCGGATCCTCGTGCCCCCCCGTGGCGCATGAATCACCGCGACTCGCCTCGCCGTGTCTTGTCGCCCCTCGGCCAAGGTGACAGCTGTCAAGCGGCTGCTATACGGCACGGTGTACGCCGCGCCGTGTAGGAGGTGTACGCGTCCCCGCGTGAAATCCTCTCCTCTCCGTGAACATTCTGACCGACCACGGGCAAACCATCCACTGGCGTAGACATCCGGAACACATTTTCCTGTCGATTTACCAAATGTCGTTATTTCTTCGGATTTAACCTCTCGACGATACCATGGTATCGTGTCTCGTATGTATTGTCCATCTATACAAGGTGTTCTACTCGTGACGAATATTCTAAGCATTTCTGTCGGCATGTATCGAAAACAAGTGAGAAAGATTTTAAGGAATTCGTATAATTGTGGAACATGAAGTCGCTGGTGGTATAAAAAATCTTGGCAAGATCGTCTACAGCAAGAACAACTTCGCAGAAACCAGTATAGCTTAGAGAAAATATAGCGAAACAGGATCGATAAATAGCATTGAACCGCGATATGCATACAATACGCACTACACGACATTCTTGTTCCAGCATTCGCGTTGCGAATACATTCGACGTAAAACCACGTTTCACTATTTAGCAATCGTACACATAACGTTTCAATAATACTCTTAAGGCACCTGCTGATCTCATACAAAACTTTGTGATTTCTTAATAACTATTCGAGTTTACCTCATTCTTCTATAAGTATCCTGATACTTACGTACAGAACGCATTACTTGCAACTTAGGCTAAATCTCCAATCGAAATCCAACAAAAACGTTCGAGTTTCAACTCGCGCTATTTCTTTTCCAGCATTCTTCGATTCTTTTCCCTAGCTTTTCAGCGCCAAACTTGATCATAAGACACTGTCACTGCAACGCGCTTAATCCGATGCAACTTTGCATCGACTCGCTTCTCCCGCATTCCTATCGCAGGTTCAGCGAGTATAGCACCGGTTCCCATGTCCGTATCTCGATCAGAAAACGACTACGCTCCGTATCTATAGATCGATTTGCGTAGCGCGCGATTACAAAAGTAAAGCAAAAGGATTACACCGATGAAACTAGTTCTTACACGAGGAACAAGTGGAAGAAGAAGAAGAGGAAGAAAAGGAGAGGAAGATGGTGGGGAAAGGTGAAAAATTTCCCAGGGCTCGTTAACATCCACCTGTGTTCTCGCGCCATTGCGTGTGCACGCGCGTGCACGCGGTTCGCCTTGACCCGCGCGAGCTACCTCCGAGGGATGCTCGTCGATCGTCTCAGACACAGTTGGGAATTAAGGTACTGGGTAAGTGACCATGCAGTTGATTACTTTCCTTTGTGTTCCCCTGTGACATTTTTATTTTCCAACGACACACGAAGGAGAAAGGCCATATCGACTGATACCTCTTAGCGATGAGATCAAGTACGTAAAAGTCGATTTAATTTTGTTCCTTTCGATGTTGTTCCCTGATATCTTTAAGGCTTTTTAAGGCTCTTAAGATTCTTTAAGGTCCTTTCACGGTAAAGGATACGATCTGCCCGGAGTTTATTTATTAATACATTGTGTATATCCTAATGATATTGCTACTCCGAGGCAAAACGACAATATGATTTGAATCGTCCTCTAGCCCATGTGCCGCTACAAATAATGCGACTGTACTGAGATACTGTACAAAACTCTAAAGCGGTAGAGGCTGAAATGTTTTCTCGAATCTGCTTAGACACGCGTATTAGAAACCTGAATTTCGCTCGATAGAGCTATTCCACGACAACTTGGTGTTTAAGTACCAGATCTAACGCGGCGAAATGTCAAAGCTTCCCGTTATCGCGATCCTGGTTCCCCGTGAACAATGTACCATAAAGGCGTTTTGCGGCAGAAGGCTAGTAGGACAGGTCAGGGTACTGAAACGATCGGACACGTCCATGGTGCTCGTAGGACAATCCGTTAGCCGCGTTGCCCCCATCGAATCGTCCGTGATCC